TGAGGATCACTGCAGTAAACAAATGCAGGATTTCCCTTAAGGGAGAAGACAAGGGGGTTTAGCCATGATATCTCTAAAGCTACTAACACCAGGATTTTTTGATACAGTTACAAAGTCATATGTTCTTTTTTGTTATTATGAAGAAAATTAATATCCAGAAGTTCTCTATTAGGTCTTACATTCTAATAAAAAAAATCAACTTCTCCATTCCAGATCAGGAATTATCTTTTCTTTTTCCTTACATCCAGTGAAAACTACATATAGTAAATTCTATGCACTAAAAATTACAAGCCTTTTATGTAAAGAACAAAGGGGTTTCTGAGTTGACTCAAATATTATTCGCTGTAGGCCATGTAATGGTGCACTGTAACTATAAATTATTCGTAACCTAAGTGTATGATAATTCCATAAAGCTGCCACGCTCTACTTCCAAATAATACATCTGGAAGGAAAAAGTCAAATGTGCTTCACCCCACAGCAAGATATAAAACTGTTGAAAAAAATCATCATTACTGATTTCTTTCCTTGGAGGTTCTTACTGCATTTTCATGATGGACACTGTTAATGGGCTGAATCGTGTCCCACCAAATTCTTATGTCTGAGTCCCAACCCCAGTACCTCAGAATGGGACTCTATTTGGAGATAGGGTTATTAAGAGGTCATTAAATTAAAATAAGGTGATTAGAGTGGGTTCTAATCCAATCTGACTGGTGTCTTTAAAAAAAGAGAAAGATAGAACACAAACGACTCAGGGAGAAGATCATGTTAAAATACAGAGAGAAGACAGCCATGTACAAGACAAGGAGCAAAGCCTCAGAAGAACCTAACCTTGCTTCACCTTGACTTTGGACTTGTAGCCTCCAGGATCAGGAGAAAATATATTTCTGCTGTTTAAGCCATTCACTCTGTGGTACTTTGTTTTTGCAGCCCTAACAAACTAATAAAAGCAATTCTCTATCTTCTCCTATAGTCATGTTACAAGGCCTTTGGCCTTCTTCTCACCACTTACCTGCTCATCTGCAGGTAATAGCACCATGCTGTGCAGATGATCTGGAAGGAATTTGATTTTGAGATCAATGATGACGCACTAAACTGACTTATACTAGAACATTTTCCATGAAGACATTTACAGGTATTAGAAGAGAAGCATGGCAGCTCTGAAAAATGATGGGCAGCAGATGAAATTAGAAAAGGGACTCTCTCAGTTCTCCAAATGCATCCTGGCAGTTGACCTCAGCTTTCTCTGAAGATGCTCTGGGAAAACTTGACCTATCACCTTTGAGCAAGACAAATGCCATTCTCAATTTTAAAATATAGTTCTGTTGCTTCCTAGCTATATGCCTCATTTTCCAGATCTAAAAATGTAGGATGTCATAGATTTGTTTAATATAGCTGCTGCCCTGGCATCCATTCTGGGGCCTGACATAAGATATTTGAAACCCAGTTGTAGCCCATCGCCTCTGGCCTACTTACAATCTCCCCTTTCTGTGTGGTTGTATGTGATATGTTCTACATGTTCCTCATCCCACTGACCCAAAACCCAACTCTCTCCAACGAAAAAATCTGATCAACACCAGAGGCATGTAAATAAGATCCTCCTTCACGATCGTTTTCCTTACACCAGCCAATCCACACCCCTATGGACAAGCCTAAGGGATAAAGCATGTGAACGCTGATAGAGGCAAAGTGCCACAGCTCCCCTCTCTTTCTCTCTCACTCCCCACTTGCTGGCTGAGCTCCCTCCCGACTTCCTGTTGGCTTCCCCAACCTCTTTGGGACCTGTGAGTAATACAGTTCTTGTGTTTCGTGCATTTTAATTTCACTTCCTCATTGTGTTTCACCTGACAAACACATCTGAACCTAACTTTCCTCCTCCTACCCCCACTCCCTGGTCAGAGCTCTCCCAGAGAGTGGCTATCTTGGCTCACGGCCAGTCTCAAGAGAGAGAAACCTCAAGACCAAATTAGAAAGAAAACAAAACAGTAGAAATCACAACACAGGGTTAATATGATGCCTACTTTCTTAGAATTATCATGAAGAGTGAGTGATTTAGCTGGTGTAAAGAAATGAATAATATGTCTGGCTGACGGAAAACGATTAAAAAATGTTTGAATTATTATCAGCTATTATTAATATAATATTTATATTATGTAATATATTGATTATAATTAACTGTTTTAATATTACTGAGCTGTTATTAATATCAGGTAGTAGTTATGCATGTATCATTTCTTTAGTAGCATCTCTTCTAGTCTAACTTTTATTGTTTTTTCATTCATTTTGTCTCAAAGTCCCAATTATTAAAGTTACAGACATGAGGTTAAAGTACCCCAAAATACAGAGATTTGGTTTAATATAAAAATGGCTTTTTTCCCCTTTTTCATTTTTTCCCTTAAGAGATGGGGTCTCACTCTGTTGCCTAGGCTGGAATACAGTGGCTCCATCATAGCTCACTGCAGCCTCAGGCTCCTGGGCTCAAGCGATACTCCTGTCTCTGTCTTTAGAGTAGCTGAGACTATAGGTACATGCCGTCACACCTGGCTAATTTTTCTTATTTGTTTGTAGAGGCAGAGTTTCACTATGCTTCTCAAGCTGGTCTTAAACTCCTGGTCTCAAGGGATCCTCCCACCATGGCCTCACAAAGTGTGGGATTATAGGCATGAGCCCCAGCACTGAGCCTAAAATGACTTTTTTCCTAAGCTATTATCATTATGCATTGCAAAAAGTTATGAATACTAGTTAGAGATATTCTGAATAAGTCAGTCTGGGGAAATATATGGCAGATCAGAAAAATTATTTTCTAATCAGAGATAGTATGGTTATGAATTAACCATAAATTCAAATTAAGGACAGATAATATATATCACCTATATTAGCAGTCACACATTCCATTAGACATCACCTTTATTTCATATCGCGTATTTAGAATTTACAAATGGCTGATGCAACATTGGAGAAATATTCCACAATATTTGAGGATTTTGACATTTAGTTTAAAATTTACTATTATAAATATGCACAAAAAATAATTTCACGAACATGGTGTGCTTCAAAGCATTGATGTGAGACTGAGGATGATTTTATTATTATTTCACTTGCTCAAGTACTGAGATACATTTTTAAATTTATTTAAAGTAGCAATTTTCCAACCAATAATTTATTTGCATAGTTATTAATATATTCCAGACTCCTAAAACTGTCTTTTTTTAAATTTGCAGTGTGATGTTTGGTTCTGCATCATTGGAAATACCTGCTGATAGATTTGTTTCAATACCAATGGGATCATAATTATGCAATTTTTTTTTATCATGTTGGAGTGAAAACAAGTTTTAATTTTAGAAGACATGAAAATGAATATGATGTCATTATTTCTAAACATCTCAACGAGTCTAAAGTTTACAAAACTCTTAAATTATGCTGTGATATTGACAAAACATGAGAATATTTGCTTCCCATGTAATAGCAAGTCACTTTTTTTTTACACAATATATTGCTTCCTTTTAATAATACTTAAAAATACAGGCACCAATCACTGTGATTATAGAAGAAATCAAGAGAAAAGATGGAACAAGGAGATTGAAACCAAAAGGCCATCAGATTATGATGGCAAGAATTTATTTAATTCAACTCATCTCAACAGCTATTAATACTTAATAAATAGCTGTTATTATATGCTTTATACTCTGTAACACACTGAGATGCTTAAAAAAAGGAAGAAAGATAACAAAAGGAGAAGGAAGAAAAGAAGGAGGAAGAGAAGAAAGAGGAGAACAAAAATATCACAACCACTATCCTGTTCTTCAACACATGGGAGTCTCTGAGGAATTTACGTTATGTTTCAGTTAGAGATATACTCTGGTTAAATCCTCAAATTAAATACACTTAGAAGATTCACCTTTTAATTATAAAATGAGAAAGAAGAACTTCAATTACACAGAAGGATTTAGTCCACTTAGAGCATTAGCACAGAGTTGAACACCTCCATTGGTTTTCTGCAGCTGTTCTGGACAGCTACTCACATCCTGACCCAGGGGCAGGACATCCTCTTTATTGTGTCTGTGATAGGCTGCTTAAAATGATGCATGTGTACCAGCACCCTTCATTCCCTCCTTCCCGCCTGCCAGAGTCACCTGCTACATGAAAAGCTACTTCAAATGGAGATGGAAACCTCAAAAGAAAGCTCTTTGAAAGGCAGGCACCAACTATGCGCACAGTAGCTTGAAATTTCCTGGAAGCAATTCTCACCATGGCTAAGGAAAGCACTTTGGACACTGTGACTTTAATGGCACCATAAAAATAACAAGGCATTAAACAAGCCTCAGCCTTAACAGGCTGGAAGAGAGGGAGAGTGAAGGGAAATATTCAAATTATCCCAATCCAACTAATGGCACATTCAATCGATGTAAATCCATTACTCAAGGTTTTTTAACAACCCTGAGGTTTCTCCTACATTCTAAAAAGAAGTGTGAAATGACTACCATTCTCAGATCGTCCTAGAAAGTGCTACTATAGTCATTGCAGTTTAGGGTGAGGAAACTGGGGAGGAATAAGGATGGAATGCAGGAACAGACTGAATTCTGACTACAAATATAAATAGGCTCCTTATAATTTCCAGCAAAGGTGTTTAATGTGGTAGATGTAGGCATGGGGCCAGGTAAACTTACAAGTTGGAGATGGAACCAGAGATGATGCAATTTAGGGCCAGGGGGATGGCCTTTAGAAGTCATTTAGTTAGCCCCTCACTCTCGATGTGGGACACTGAGACCCAAGAGATGAACTGACTTCCCCAAGAAAATGCAATGGCCTCATTGCAGAGAGTTCTAGAGCCTAGCTTTCCCGTCACCTCATTCAGTTCTTAGAAACTATGATGCAAGCTGGCAGGGATGACTAGTGTGGGAACCACATTTGTAACAGTCCTGAAGATGTTAAACAAAATAGAAGTGAAGTCTCCACTTTTTCAATCCTCAATTCCAAAGGCAACAACAAATCGCTTTACTCACCTACAGGGAAAAACTCGCTCATTTTCTTTTTGTAGATTTTGAAGTCAACTTCTAAGAAGACACAGAAGATGATCCGATCCACCTAGAGGCAAACAATAAACACTCAAAGTGAAAGGAAATACGGCAATTGCCTTCCCAGAACAAGGTCTTAGAACAAAAACAAATGGAAAAACTTCATACAGATTTTTGGCATTATACTGCTAACTACATCACAACACTGAGATTCAAGGGTATGTATGTGTCAGAGTGGGTTTGTACTCTGTGTATAAATAAACCCATGGGCTCTTTGGTAGAAAGATGTTATATAAATCAAATAACAAATACTAAATGACAATAAGCCACTTTGCAGCAAGCTATAAATAAGATCTAAGATTCTGACAGGATACCTAGACTTTATGTCCTATAAAACAGCCACACGAGAGATGTACAACAGAATGATAATAAAGTATGTCAGTAAACAAAGAACTCTTTGTCCTACTCATGTTAGACAAATATATTAAACATATTAGTATTTGAATATGGCCTAAAAAGCTTCCATACAGTTTAATTTGCATAAAGTCACTTGCTTTTAGCTTAACATATTTAGAAACAAAGCAGAAATAAAATATAACTAGATGAGACTAACACAGGTCAATATAACATTTAATTTGGTAGATATTACTAAGTAAATGCCACCTCAAAAGTAAAATGTGTGCAGTCTGTTTTTGTCTGTTTTGAGAGAGCTTCTACGTGTAAGGAATTTCTCTAAAACATTCAGAAAGTAATATGGTAAATAGAGAAGGGAGATGGAATGTATATAATAGCTCACATGTATCTGATATTAAATCGGTGACTCAATTCTGTGTCCTGAAAATAAATACTTCTTTAGTTCCTTTAACAATGTAAAGAAGTTAAAAATCATTCAATCTATCAAACTGCAGATGGAAAACTGAATAGAACATCAAGTGAGCCATTTCTCATGGCAATATGAAAAGGAAGTGGGTTGTGCTTGTGGCACGACAACACAGAACCCAAATGGATGTGGTCTACCTCACCCCTGTGCTCCTCAGCCTGTGGGATGCAGATATAGCTAGTGTGACAGTTCCCAGTAGGAAAGACAACCTACCTACTGGGGTGAGAAGTGGGGGTTGGGGCACAAGGAATCACCAGGGGTCCCTCACGGATGCCCGGAGAATGGGCTCCCTAATCCCCACACAAGTCTAGAACTCATGTGGGGCGGGGACTACCTCCTGGGCTGTTAGCAGACTTCCCTGTTGTAATTATTAAAGACCACACAGTCCCTGTAACTGTGGAAGGGTTATGAGAAAAAGCACTTGGCCTTCAGAAACGGAATGACTGCCGTGCAAATAACCATATTTCCTTTTCCCTGTATTCATTTTTATGTCTGGTGTCTGGTCCTGCCTGCCTATGATTAACACTTTCTACAAATGCAAAAACTGCCAATGTCAACTCACTTTCCAGGTGAACTATAAATTTAGTTGAATAAGTGATCAACTTTGTGCAGTAGTGAATGCTCATATCCACTCTCCTTAAGGCATGTTTATGTTCTGTGGCTAAAGCTCAAAATCATAATGTTGAGTGACAGAAATGAGTTGCAAAAGAATATATACTCAGCAGTGCCATTTACACAAATCTTTGAAATGTAAAGATGCAGCAGTGTAGGGATCCATTCATAAGTATTGTTAAAATAATTAACTGGAGGGCATTAAGCCAAGGTGGCTCCAGTGTCCTGGGTTTCTACATAAGCAAACTGAGTGTAAACAGTAAAGAGAAATTTAAGCTTAACCATTCAGAAATTGCCAACTATTTTCTTACTAGGGCCTTTCCACTAGAATGACTCAAAGTTATTCCTCCACCTTAACCAATCATGTATTTTCTTTGACTTGCTTCCATGTTCACACGACAAAAGCCCTTCAAAGTCCCTTCGGTGGAGCACAAAACCACCTGCATTCTGAAGCTGCTCAATTCATACATTGCTATCTGCTCAAACTCTAAAATTTCAATGTGCCTCAATTTATCTTTTAGCAGTACTAATATAAGGAAACAAAGGGATGTCACACGTAACTTTATGATGATTACTTCCGGGGAGAGAGGAAAGGTCAAGGAAGTGGTAGGCATGGATTTAACTGAATAGTTAATATTTTATTTATGTAGAAAGAAATGAGATTTGAGATAATATGGCAAATGGATAACAGCTATTCATTATGGGAGTAGCTATAAAATATCATTTTCTTTGCTTTTCTGTATATTTGAAATACTTCATAATTAAAAGTTCTAAAAGTAAGACTATGTTAAGCTTCATTATCTTCCCTTAGATACAAGTTACTCTCAAACCACATTGAGCTACCTGGATTTTCCCAAGACCCTAATTATTCTCACTTGTGTACTTATGATTGTTAACTGTTTTCCTCAGGCTTGAAATGGTCAGATTATTTCTAAAGTCACCCAACTGATCAAAAATCAAAATAAGAAAATTTGGCCTAGTGCAGATTTAAGAAGACCAAACTCAATAGTCTCATTTCTACCCATTTTTCCTATATTTAAGATCATTTAATATAAATAATGAAATTTTTAACACACATGTCCCTTGTGTGTATAAATATGTACATGAGTGGATATATATGTGAGTGTGTTTGTGTGGGGGGTGTTTAGTGCTAATGTTATTCCCTAAGTGCACTTTTAAATTATACAGACCATATACAGATTTTTAAAATATTACAAGAAATTCTTATCCACCTTTTAGCACATTAGGCTCTGTTACCATAGAAATGGTTTGGGTCCAAAATTCAGCGACCCGATTTATTTTGCCAGAAAGAAAATGGATAACGTCAATTAAACACTTTAATTTTTAAATAACTGAATGGCCCCGTTCCTGACCTCACCTTTTAGCATAACACTGAAAATATCTTGGAAGCAAGTTGAATCCAAGAATGAACCTCATTCAGCAAGTACTTATGTATGTATATGTATATATATTTACATATGTCCCACAAACGTATTTGTGGCAGATTGTTTTTTCCAAGGTGGCCTGCAATGGGCTCTCTGCCCTACAACTCTTCTTGCAACACCATAACGACAGTCCTTTCATTGAGCGAGGGAATCTGTACTTCCTTCTGTTGAACCTGAAAGGCCTCTGACTATGGCAGAAATGATGTCATGTGATTTTTAAATCCACTTTATAACAGGTGATATAGTTTCTGCCTAGTCCTTCTGCGAGGCTGTCTCTTGTATGCAACCATCATGCCATGAGAAAGCAGAGAGATCACATGGACAATCCATGTGTAGCGGTTCCGGCCCCCAGCCCTAGCTCAAAGTGGGTAGCCTTTAGGTGATTTCAGCTTCAGGCTTTTGAGCCACTCCAGCTGATGCCACATGGAGAGAAGATGAGCTATTCCTACTAAATGATGATTGCAAATTCTTGTGCAAAACATAGAAATATATAACTAGACATTTGATATTCTTCCAGCTTCTCCCTATCACCATTTTTTTTTGAAGTCTCTTACTTTTATAACTATGTAGTAATTGACTCCCGTTGAAAAGCTCAGACTGAATAAATCAAGTAGAAGCCACAGTGGGATGACAAGAAGAATATAAAAAGTCTAATTGTTACATGGCTGGGAGATCAGAAATCTGACTTGTGCAAAAAAGGCAGGACCTCGGTAATCTATTCCAGTCCCAGATAAATTTCATGAGAACCTATGAGTATGCCTCACTATTGAGACCGAGGAGCATAGTTTCTTTTTTTTTTTTTTTTTTGAGACAGAGTCTCGCTTTCTTGCCTAGGCTAGAGTGAGTGCCGTGGCGTCAGCCTAGCTCACAGCAACCTCAGACTCCTGGGCTCAAGCAATCCTCCTGCCTCAGCCTCCCGAGTAGCTGGGACTACAGGCACGAGCCACCATGCCCGGCTGATTTTTATATTATATATATTAGTTGGCCAATTAAATTCTTTCTATTTTTATGGTAGAGACGGGGTCTCGCTCAGGCTGGTTTTGAACTCCTGACCTTGAGCAATCCGCCCGCCTCGGCCTCCCAGAGTGCTAGGATTACAGGCGTGAGCCACCGCGCCCGGCCATAGTTTCAGTTTTTTTTTTAATGTTAGGCAGCAGAATAATTTTGTCAAACAGTGGTTGTTGACTCATTCATTCATTTATTCATCACATATTAAGTGACCACCTTCAATTTTTTGGCCCTAGCCCACATGCTAGAAAGCACGAATCCAGAAATTGAGTGATTTTTTTCCCCCAAGCCAAACAATTAATTAGTGGCAAAACCTCAACTCAGGTGTCCTAACTTCACATCCACATTTTCTTGTGATTTTCACTCTGATGGAGACACATCAGATTGAGTTTCTAGGCCTGTCACTAGTTCTGTGACACTGGACAAGCAATCATCTCTCTGGACCCCCGTTTTCACATTTTCATAAAGAAACTATTGGATTATCTCTACAGTTTCTTGCTTTTCTATACTTATGTTTTCGTCTATTTCTGTAGCAGTTTTGTCCTAGGTCAACTTAGTTAAGCCAGAGCTGCATTTCTCTGAATGGCTCTGTGTTAAGATTGGCCACGGAGAAATTTCCATGAGATTTTGCAGGGCAGAAGTGCAGCTGCAGGGATTGCACAAGGAAGGTGGGCATAGTAGGGATCTGGGAAAGTTATGCACATTGTAGCCCATCACCTAGGTGTGGGGTAGCAGCTGGACCTATAGCGTCTCTAGATTCCTATGGTTCTCCTGCCATAGGTTGGGTCCTGGGCTGGGCACACATGCAGCTCTGCAGCCAGGCCCCAGCTCCTTCTGCAGGGCATAGCAGCTTTGTATTGGATGCAATAAAACACAGATACAGTTGCCAGTTCATCTCTATGGGTTCTAATTTTCCCTCATGGCTTCTCCTTTGTCCTTGTTCTCTCCCACTATGTATCCAGATTTCCTCTTGACCACCTGTCCTGCTGACATAGTCCTTCCAGGTCCTTCCACAAGACTTCTTCACCAACTCCACACCATGCGCCTTGGTTAGGGTCTTTTCTCTGCTTGGCCAACCATCTCCTTCTGAAGTTACTTTGCCAGTTTCTCCCACAATTGTATAAG